ATGGACATCGAAATCAAGGACGTCATCGATGAATTATTAAGTACAATTATGATTTTACTCGCAGAAACATACCAGCTCATCATAGGTAACTTAATGGTTGGCCTTTGCTGAAATTTCTCATTAGTGGTATAGGCTGTTCCTCTTTTTGTATCATACTTAATCGGTAACTTTCAAACTTCTCGATTTACTTACAGACAAGTCTATGTGACGAACGTGGAGCTTGGAGCATGTGGGTACATATGGCATGTAGCAGAATGCTGCTTTAACCATAAATCGTGGAAAATGTGCCTTAAGGCGCTGGCGTACTGAGAGTGAATATACACTGGTGTGCAAAAATTAAGGACGAAGTCGGAAAATTAGCATATCAGCTGAACGAAGAGGCAGAGCGGACAGAAAGACCAATCAGGAGATTAAGTAAGGTGATGTACGGTAGCACATGCGCAGATATGCAGGTAGATGTAATGGGGGAGTGTTTGAGTAGTATAAAGCATGTTGTCGGTGTAAGATCAGTATTTCTGGCAAAGAGATTGCACGCCGTATAGCAGTTAAAATCACACCGAGTTGCTGCCTCAGCGAGAAATGGCGAATAATCAATCTGTTAGACGACATCTGGATGCTTTTACCCGAGGTCGAATCATTGGGAAGTTGGAGGAAGGCCGCAGTGTGACAAGTGTGGCTGCAGAGTTCGGAATTGCTCACAGCATTGTTTCACGACTTTGGAGACAATTTCAAACTACAGGAACAGCTATCCGGGGTTTTAGTAGTGGTCGTCCACGAGGAACCACACCCGCAGATGACCGGTATATTGCCTTGCAGGCCAGAAGAAACAGGTGGCAGACAGCGGGAGAAATCCCTAGACACATGACACAGGCGACTGGACGACCGATATCGCGTTTTACCGTAGCCAGAAGACTGCACGGGAGTGGTCTGTTTGCACGACGCTCTGTACGGTGTGTACCTCTAACGCCTGCCCATCGGAGAAGGCGTTCTCTGTGGTGCCGGGGAACACCGGAATTGGAGAGACAATGAATGGGGACGAGTACACTTTACAGATGAGAGCAGATTCAGTCTGAGTAGCGATTCTCATCGCATACTCATCTGGAGAGAGCGGGGAAGCCGCAATCATCCCTCGAACATCATTGAAAGGGACAGGTATGGAGGTGGCGGTGTTCTCGTTTGGGGAGGCACCATGCTTGGTAGTCGTACAGACCTTCACATCTTCGACGCAGATTCAGTTAACGGGACAAGTTATTGTAACGAAATTCTTCTTCCATATGTGCGTCTTTTTAGAGGCGCTATGGGTCCGCAGTTCATTTTCATGGACGACAATGCACCATGTCATCGCACAGTAGCTGCCGAACAGCTCTTAGAGAGTGAGGATATTGAACGTATGGATTGGCCGCACGATCTCCGGATCTCAATCCCATCAAGCATGTATGAGATTTTCTAGGCAGACGCTTGGCAGCTCGTACCTTACCACCAGTAATGATTCCGGAGCTTCGATTGGCGCTGCAAGACGAATGGGCAGCAATGACTCAACAACTAATTGACACCCTCATTCTCAGCATGGGACAATGAATGACCTGCCTAGCAGTCAGGGGAGATCATATCCCCTATTAAAGACCGGATGTTTCATGCTGGACACCCATCACAGGGATGTTTCGGCCTTCAGTCGCATTGCGCTCCATGCTACTTTTTCAATAAAGCTTCTTTTTATCCCTCTGATTTCTCTTTTAGTAAGTGTTGCTTACATTACTCATGTCCTTACGTATTGGGGATCTTACGGTATTAAATGTGTTGATTTGGAAAGCTTTTGTACAAAGTTATATTGAAAAAATCGTCTCGTCCTTAATTTTTGCACACCAGTGTAAGCGTGTAAAACGCTTCGCCAAGAGGCGAAAAACGATCTACTACTATAAAGTACAAATCATGAAAATAAACGTAAAATTTTGCTGTTCCAGCAGTGTTTCTTCGATGTAAACGTTTGATTTTAACGAAGAATTTACGGAAAGTCTCAAGGCTTTGTAGGATGGAAAACAAAGTTCGTACTTTGACTACATGATGAAGCACTGCCCACGTCTTTTTTTTAAAGTCTTCGATGAATTTCAGCGCGTGATATGTTGAAATCAATGATCAAACTTTGATCACGTGACTATAGTATTACCAACACTAAGCATGCATGCGCAGAAGGCAATGCAACAAACCTAAAATGTGATATCACGGAAATGTGAGCACTTTTTGACTTACCCTGGTATTATAAAACATATTTTCATACACAGCAGTAACTCCTTTAAGGGACACCTCCGAATAAAGAACAGTTCTGACTAAATGGCAACTCTGTTGGTCATGACCGCTTTAAATAGGAACCTTAATGCTTTAAATAGGAACCTCTTATTAAGAACAATGAAAAAAACAGTTTAAAAAATATGATAGAAGTAGAGACAAATAAATAAAAGAAACGATGCTTTTTGTTAGTAATAGCTTGAGTTTCAAAGGCAAGTTTGTGCTCAGTGAAAGATAGTTTCGTGTCAAGGGAATAATAAAATGAAGCGTTGATCCCTCTATTTAGAAAAATGCTTTTCTGTAGGGCAGAAGGGAGCAATACATTGAGAGAAAGCAAATTGTGTTGCTATCAAAAGGATGTTTCACACTCATAGAATTTCAAATTCAATTATTCGTGCTACAGCTTTCAAAAGGGAGGAGCAAACAGTATTAGCAAGTTGTGAAGCAATCCAAGACAGGAGGGGCCAATGGAATAGAAATGGTCGCGAGAAACCTGGAACACCTATGAAGAACAGGGATCTCATAGTGTGAATAGAGTGAAACTTCTAGCATTCTTAGATTTTGCTAGAACTCGAATAAAAGAAGTGAAGTTTTATACTGTAGTAATGTAGTACTGTAATTTGTATTATTTTTATATGCTAGCATCAAAGAGAAAAACATTATCATTAAACCAAAATGTTGCTATAATTCAGAAATTTGGAAGACACAAACCAACAGTATAAACAGAAATAGTCTATAATTCAGAAATTTGGAATACATACAAACCAACGGTATATTTGTCATGTGCTAAAGTACAAGTAGGTCATGTGCTAAAGGCTAGAGAAGAAATAAAATTGTCATGGATTACAAATTGAATGGGAAGATGTAAAATATGGACAATGTGACTAAAGTCAAATTTTACAGGAGCAAAAACAATACGTCCTATTCCTCACAAAAATGTCAGAAGACATTTAAATACGATGAATTACATGGATCCTAGTTACATCCATCTCATGACTTTTGGGTTGTTGTCATCTGACATTCTTGTAAACAATGGGATAGTTTTTTCTCTGCTGCTCCTGTAAAATCTGACTTAGTCATATAGCCCCAATTTGCATCCTCTGCTTCAATGCAAATGAACATTCCAAGACTGTAACTGTGAAATTGAAACAGCTGTGTTCAGTTGGTTTTATTCTGCAAGAGGAAATAATATTGCTTTAAGTGGAGTATTATTGCAAGAAAAGGCAAAAGCAGTTTTGGAAAGTCTGGGAATATAGAACTTCAAAGGATAAAATGGTTGGCTAGGGAAAATTTAAACAAAGACATAACATTATTTTTAAGACTTTTTGTGGTGAAGAAATACATTTAGGCGTATAGTTGATAGCAAGTCTGTTATGGCATTGAGTAGATTTGTGAGTGCCAGTACACCAAACACAGCATGCCGGGTTATGGCAGGCACTTTGTGTATGACCATAGCGCTGACAGTTGAAGCACTGTGTAGGCCCTGGTCTCGATTTGTAGGGTACAAGCCTGAAATACATGTCCATAATTGTGCATAGTTGGTATATCTTTTTTCCTTCCGGTGTTTTAGGTACTTCAATATAATATACAGGTAGTGTTTGGATAGCTCCATCGCGGATGTGCTGAAGTTGTCTGCATTTTTTGATTGGAACTTGCTGGGCTACAATTTCTTCTTTAACCTCATCAGCGCTCTGTGATTAGTCCTTTGATAATAAGACGAGTACTTTTGTTGGAGTTAATTAAGAAAGTATGGAAAGGAATTTCCGGTTTTTCAAGCTTGCTCTGAACCTTACGCTAATACACAAAATAATCAGCCATACGAAATTCAGCACCAAGAGGAAGCCAACAATGATAATAGTACTAATTATGATATTAATACTAATGACCAAAATAAACCCAACAAGTATAATCAATTCACAAAGCCCAATAACACTGCAAACAAGATCCCACCACTTGTGATCACTCAACCAAACATCAGCTGGAAAGAGCTGCATAAGGACATAAAAGAAAATCTAACAATCGACAAAATTGAAGGTGAAAACCTTGTAATAAAAACCTTTACATCAGACGACTAGCTACTGTCGAGCTAGTGGCGCCATCTATTGAGTGGTCAGGAAGATTCTTGAATTTATTGGTAGTTTCAATGTTAGTAGTTTGTACTTTATCTGGAGAATTTTGCTTTCCGTGCTTTTTTGATTTAGGTTCATCTCTCCATTCATTTTCTTTCGGTTTGGATGGGGTGCATTTCGGAGATTTTTCATTATTACAATAAAGAAACTTGTCTTTGTTTATTAATGCCTGTAAACCATCAGGATTAAATTGGTGGTTTAGGATCGTGTCCAAAGCATCAAGATCATTTAAGCATATTTGATAAATTCTTTCATCCTCCTCGTTATAATCGGAAGTTTCTTTTTTAGCTTCTAGGTGAGTGATTGCCTGTTTTAATTCCTGACATCTATCGAGTAAATTTAAGATTGAGCCTTTCGGCATATTTTTGAAGTTTACTGGAGAGTTAGTGATTGGAATAACATTATCTGCTATTGGTAAATTTAGCGCAGTATTATGAAGTGCAATTTCATCATCTAATGCGAGAAGTTCTCGCCGTTGTTCAGTGGCCTGGGACAGTTTCATTATGTGCTTTCTTCGCGCTGTGTCTAGTAAGCATGGTAGCTAGGTTATTTCGCGTGGAGTCACCATAACAAGTCAAAGATACTTACACAAAGTCAAGATGAAAATACTGAGAGGATCTTGTTCGAAGAAAAACGCAGTAAATTCACGTAATGCAGGGAACCACGAGGCGAAATGAGCGCTTCCATGGCTGTTCGGCTGACGAAGAGTCAACGGATTTTCACTTTTTCATTTCGTAATTTCTCTCCACATACGAAGTGGAAAAAGATTACATTTTAAAATGATTCTTTTACAGATGTAAACCTTATCAATAGTTCCTTATCCAAATACATAAAAACATTTTCTTACACATATAGTAGTGGGCACTAGGTAACAAGCTAATTTTTTATATTTTATAAATTTCAAATTTAAATAAGTATTGTGGCTATGTTATTTATTTAAAGGTTGATAATAAAAGAATTTTTAATTAAATTGCATTTATTAATATGTATCCTCTTCAAAAGAGACACCTCAATTTCGAGGACAACATGTCTAATCCGGTGGGTGTTCCTTATTGGGAAGGACTACTGTACTTGATTTGCAGCCACACTAACCATTTAGCATAGTAAGATTATTAAATTCCAAGAACAGTTATCTACCACCATTTGTGTATAGAGATTAAAGAAATTTTCCAAAAAGAGAAGTAAGAGAAATTATTCACAAACTCAAGCCAAGGAAAGCCAAAGGCCATGATCAAATTAGCAATGAAGCACTTAAAGCCCTTCCTAGACGCAGTATTACTAACATAGTCAATATTTTTAATGCCTGCATCCGAAATAATTATTTTCCTCAGCAATGGAAACATTCAATAATTGTCAATGTCTTAAAACCAAAGAAAGATCCTAAGCTCGTCACTTCCTACAGACTTATCAGTCTTTTACCTTCATTAGGAAAAGTATTGGAGAAAATCCTCTGCTCAAGGCTCACTAACCATATCGAAAGACTCAATTTAATAGATGATCTGCAATTCGGCTTCCGCAGTGGACACTGGACGACTCATCAAATTCTCAATTTGGTGGAATTTGTTTCGCAAGCCTTTACTAAGAAAAAGGGTGGCTACATGCGATCTCGACTTCGAAAAGGCCTTTGATAGAGTGTGGCATGCAGCCCTTCTGAATAAATTGAATAATTTTATGCTTCCAAACAGTTTCGTAAAACTCATTACAGTCAAAAGTCGTTAATTCGGACACCCATAATCCGGAATGATCTATAATCCGGACCTCAAAGCTACAAACTTTCTGCGCATGCGTCGCGTTGACGCATGCGCGTAAGACCTTTACCGCTGCGAATTTGCGTGTGCGCGTGCGCAAAATACGTTTACGAAAGCGCGTTAATGTATAACGGACGGGATAAGCTAAGCTAAAATTATCTAATTATCTATTTCAGTTAATGCTGCAGATTGCGTTGTTCCTTAATCTTCGAATTGGATCCGAATTATTATTTTTTGCAGACTATTAGAGCAATTTTATAAAAGTAAGCTTGAACTTTCGATTATGTCAAATAGAATTTCCGATATATATTTACTAATATGTAAAGGATATACAAAGCGAAAGTATCTTTCGGAGTCCATTAAACAAAAAGTGGAATTGCTGCAAAAAATGGATAAAGCCATATCCTTTGTTTATCTATACTTTAACGTTTGTTTATCTAAACTTTGTTTATCTTTAACGCCGCGGCGGGCGGTGCAATGAATTGGAAGTTGATCTGTCAGCACTATCCTTATCTTAAGGGCAGATGTTTTTATTTTATTTGGCTTATAATTGCTTACTCAATGTAGTATTTCATCTCGATGTACTCCGTCTTTGATATGATTTAAATCAAATGCCTCGTCATTATAATTCGCTTCCGATAGCGAAGAAAGTGACAGAGGTTATTGAAAACAAAAAATTTCGATTGACAAATTAGTCGGTATTCTCGGCACAGCAATTATAGGACTTGAACAGCGGAACTTTGTAACTGAACAAGAAATTATGTCTGTTTATAGAATTAAAGAGAATGTATTATCACATAAAAAACGAAGCAACTTAAACAACTTACATTGAAAGAAATGTTTAATAAAGTAAACAAATAAATATTAAGCTTTCTTTTTGTAAATTTTGATACCCTTTAGATCATAATTGTTCTTTATTTCGTAAATTACGGTTTCATATTTTTAATTTTATAATTTCTGCATGCCATTTTACCAGATTTAAACTGATGATCTATAATCCGGAAAAATCGATAATCCGGAATCGCCGAAGTCCCGGCGAGTCCGGATTAACGACTTTTGACTGTAGTTCCTATCTGAAAAACAGGACTTTTCAAGTTCGCTGCGGTGACGCCTTATCTGTCAGAAAAACAATTCATAGCGGGGTCCCGCAAGGGTCTGTTCTTTCCCCCGGCTCTATAATGTTTATATCAATGATTTCCTGCACCCATTCAACACGAAAATACTCAAATACGCTGACGACACTGTAGTACTGACTGAATCCAGAAGTCCCCAGCTCGCTCTAAGTAATTTACAAATGCATCTCAGTATGATCAATCACTGGTGCAAGACTTGGAAAATTAAGCTCAATGCCTCTAAATGTTGTATTGTGCTCTATCGTAGATACAAAACAAGATTAAGAGTCAATACTGATATCTACTTAGATAGAACTCTAATCCCTGTAGCTAATTCCTATAAATATTTAGGTGTTTACATAGATAAGTCGCTCAACTTCAAAGATCATATTTCTTATATCTTAAACAAAGCAAATGCAGCCTACATGGCAATTTATCCTATTATCGGCAAAAAATCAAAGCTCAGTCTAAAAATAAAGAAAATGCTTTACATATCTCTAATTCGACCGATCATGCTATATGCAGTGCCGGCCTGGGCAATCGCCAATAAAACTGAGTGCAAAAAACTGGATATGCTTCAAAATAAAATTCTACGTAGCATTGTGAATGCACCTTGGTATGTGAGAAACTCTATAATTCATAACGACCTGGATATTCCATCTGGGCACAACTTTATACTCATGACAGCTCACAACTTCTTCGAGAAGATGAAGCATAGTCAGTATAACGCAATTAAACAAATGTTGGATTATGATCCAACCATTGAATACACTGTCAAACGCCCAAGGTACACACAATTTGTCATGGTGGTAACTTGTAAATTTTAATTTTAAACTTTACTTGAACTCTGAAATTGGACTCTATCCTATTATTTGTGTTGCATCTTATACTTATGTTAATCAAGAAACTTTTTTTTATTCAAGATTTTTATGTTACTATTTCATTTTTTGAATTATTTTGTATGAATGTTTACTTTATAAAATGATTCTACGAACTTTTGAACTTTTTACGGCCTACTGCATACTTCTGAAGGACTTTCAACTCTTATGTCATTCACAGCTTCAAACTGTCTTTGCGCCATTTTCATGATGTCTCACTACTGCTTATCCTGCACTCTTACTAGCTGTATCGCACTCACCATCTACATTTGCCATACAACTCACTGCACCTGTCTGCATTCTTCAATTTAATGCCATTGCTTATCACTGCACAATTTTTATGCTGAACGCCTACTTTCGTAAGTATTAAGATATGCCTGCTCACGCAGCTGAATTTTCTTCGCCCACGGGTGTTGGTACTTCCCTAGTACCATTTATTTGAAAATATCTTTGCCTAGTGCACTTTAATGGGATCTACTGGCGAAACCTCTTTAGTAATTTATGACCAGAAAAAGTAAGTCATAAGTCATAAAATGTCAAAAATTATAATAAAATCAAATAAGACTGTCTTCTCGAATGACACATATGCAACATGGCGATTGTCTGAAAATGAATTGAAATTTAGAATAGGTACTCTCAGAAGGGTAAAATCTGCCTTACGTTGCATAGCTACATATATGCAACATGTAACAGTCTGGATAAAAAAAAAAAATGAAATTTCTGAAAGATATGAGTTTAAAACTATCTACAGTGCAGAAGAAAATCGAATTTCCCTAATAAAACTCTGTACCAGAAAAAACTGGTCTGGATGTAAAAGGTTTAAACAACGTCTCACTTGGCTACTTAGTTGTAACATGGAAAATGAGTTTCTTAACCGCTTATTACAGGAAAGGTTAGAAACCAAAGATGCTTCAAACACCATAAATCCAAATGAGTTATCGATCCATTAGCATCACAATAAAAAGTCATAGATAACGTAAAGCATAATGGTCATGATTGTTGATCGCTCTTGATGCAACAATTTCTGGAAAAAAAATAGGGAGATTCTTCTATTTTTTTCACAACTCGCCACTCATCCACCAAACCTGAAACAAAAATCAGTGAAATTAATGAGTTTCCCACATAATTCATATTAGCTTTTGGACCAAGCTATAATTAAAATCTTCAGTGTTTTTAGAGTCATTAGGTTATATTGATGTAGGAATGTGAAATATGTACAATGCCCTGCCCGAGATTGGAACTCCGAACTTCTCGAATACAAGTTGAGTGTACTTCTAGTTACACAGCGAAATATGCTGAAAGGAGAGAGAAATACCTTATAGTTTCAACACAGAAAACCGATTTTACAGCATGTTCTCTGCAAAGCTGCTTGCGGAAATAGCTATCAGCCTGCAAAACGTGCCAATGTGTTGAATGGCACTCAGTGGATAGCAAAGGCTGATAAACTCGTATCACACAATAATACCATTGTTGTAAGAAAGCAGGCCTTGAAATTCAGTTTCGATTGCCCTCAGTGAAAACGCCACTGATGAAAATGAATTGTTTGAATTTGTCAAGTCCATGGCAGCTAGCTCTCAAATATAGGAATATTTAGAAATCGATGAAAACTGAGTTACTGAAGACTTATAAACAATACAAAATCTTTCATTTCAACTGTAATTGATGATGTAAGATTTAACGAAAATAACTAGGAAAAGAATGAGGAAGATAAAGAAGAGACAGATAAAAGGTGGGACAATAAACTACACACACGCCTTCAAATACACCTCCCAATTCAAATCTTATTGCTAACGGTTGGTAACAGTGAAGGCCTTAAAATTATCAATGACTTGAATATCACCTGAAAAAAATCCTTGTAATGCACAAACATTCAAACAATCCGTTTAACGGGATTATTTTCAATAAATTTCTGTAAAGGAATAACTATGTTGTTCATTTCGTACATTTTTGTAATAATTAATTTTTTTTTTAAATAAGAATTTGTTATTAACCTCATATTCAGATAAATACTTGCGA